AATCTAACTATTGTCAATTAAAACAATTTATTTCTATTAGAATTTCAATCTCATCTATAGAAAACAAGAATTTTTATTTTACTTCAAGAGAATTTTATTTAAAATTGAACTTCATTTTTCATTGGACAAAATGCAAATTCTAACTTTGTTTGGCCGAATGCATAGTTTCATCGAATTCAATTTTGACATTAACGTTTACATTGTATTAAACAATCGAAACAAGAAAAAAAAGTATTTTTTTGCCAAGAGACAATAATCGAACTTTTCACTCATTCTTTTCATTTAGAGTAAATCATTCTTGTAAATACTTGGATTTGTTTTTATGTTTGATCGATCATTTTCGACGTTAATATATATATATATATGAGTAAAATGAGTTGATGCATATCTGAAGACCTTCTCGAAAAATGAACTTCGAAGTTTCATAACTTATTTTTCTTTTCTACTTTTAGACATATCTTGAGAGAAGAAATATTGACGTGTAGCTTGAATTATTCTCTACACAATCTATATAAAAGTCTTTAAAAATTCATTCATTATCTATATTTCTAGAAAGTTAATTACTTGTTTAGAATAGTCACTAATTTACTCTATATGTGTATATTCTTGATATTTTTTATTCTAAAAGGTCGAAAATAATGATGTTTGCACATATATGTGTAAGTTCTCGAGGGTGAAATTTGACTAAAGTAAAAAAAAATAGTGTTAGTTATGCTTTAATTATAGAAAGATATCATCTTAATCATGGAAATAATTGAAAAAAAAATCTATTTTTCCATAGTATTTATTCTAAAGTCTTGCATAGATCATAGTTTCAGGCCTAGATGTACATATATCGAGGTATGAACAAAAATAAAGTTTGTTTTCTGTTATTCTATTAAATTCGTTTAATACTCCTAAGAACATTTCCAATGTTGTAATCATAGATATTGAATAATGATCAAATTTCACAAAATAAAATTCTGAAAAGAATAAAAACTTTTCATAAGTCGATATTTCAATAATAAACTAATGCTTTTCTTTAAAATTTAAGTAACATTTTTCATTATTTTAATTTTATTTTTGTTTTTATTTACTTCGAAATGATATCGTTCGTTATATTTCTGTAATAATAGCTTTCAAAATAGTTCAATGATAATTATTCAATATCCGGTAGTTAAATGCAAAAAATAAAATAAAATATTTTTCATTCTTCATATTGTTGATTAAAGTTCTCGCGTAATACAATATGGTTTTTCTCTTATTATCTCTATAAGAATTAATATCATTAAGTGAAACTGATTATTCTCTAGAGAAAATAAAGGATAGTGATGCATAAGAACCATTTTTTGTTTTGGTTTATTTATGATTTATTGCATGTGAAATTCCACAAGGAATCATTTGCCAACAAAATAAATCTATTACAGAAAATTCTAGACATACTTTTATTCAAAACATTGACATTCATATCTGTATTATAAATATATGATTCATAGATAGAATTATCAGAAATTTATATTCCTCCTAAATAAGACATTTTCAATTGAAAATTATTACAAATTAATGTCCATTCTATAATGATGGACATATTTGATGAGTGACACTACATCTTAACACGTCGTGTAATTATAAGAGTATATATATATATATTGTAAATTTTCAATAGATAGTATTTTTCTATTACAGCTTTTTAATGTGTATATTCATCAGAGACTCCGTTTTTTTTTAAATTATATTTTTGAATTTTATCTTCAAACTATCTTCATTTAAATGTTTCATATATAGCACCTTGTACGAAAAGTTTTAGACTATATTAGAATCATTTTTCAGAGACGGATGTGGAAACCGATAGGCAAAATCTCGTCATTCGAGTTATTGATGTTTACGATGCTTGAGGCTAAAATTTCTTGTAAAGTGCTTATAATTCTGGAAAGAAGGCCGAAAAGCATCTTTTCTTTTAACCCTTTACGGCCGGCTACCAGAAGATAGCAAGCAAAAAATTCTCCTTCTATATATTCTTTATCTCTTAGATGTGGAGGTTACCGAAATCTATCTTGTAGTTAAAAGAACTGATACTGAGCCGAATGCCAACATGTTGCCTTTTGGCAACAACCGGTCGCAAGGGTACAAAAAGTTGGGAAAAGTGAATTATTTTACCTCGATAGAAGTCCAATAATTTGCTGTTGGTTTTAGTCCAGATTGTCAAACAAAAGCATACTTTGTTTATCTGCCTACCTCTTGTAGCCTCAATGTGCAATATATTGCCAAAATACTCAAAAACTTTCTGAAATAGTGCAAATTTCACCTATTTTCCCTAGGGAAGCCCATGAATTTAGTAAGATTTTAACAAGACTAATAATGTTTTATAGTAGTCTGAATAGGAATACTATGATGTACTGTAAATCTTGTTAGAATCTCGCTGAATTTGTGAGCTTCTCTGGGGAAAGTAGGTGAAATGTGCACTATCTCGGAAAGTTATTGAGTATTATGGGAATATGTCGCACATTGAGGCTGTAAGAGGTGGGCAGATAAACAAAGTATGCTTTTGTTTGATAATCTGGACTAAAGCTAACAGCAAATTATTGAACTTTCATCAAGGAAAAATAAATCAATATTCCCAACTGTTTGTACTCTTGCAGCCGGATGTTGCCAAAAGGCAACATTCTTGTACTCTATTCTTCGAGTAAACTGAATGATTCATCTTATTGATATAATAGATAATGGATCTGGAGAGGAAAATTAACCACTAGTTACTGACTACTTTTCATTATATTTTCACTTTGGACATTATCATCTTTGTTTGAAATTTCAAAAGAAAAATGCCTTATTGAAATAATCATGTTTGTTTTTTTTATCATTGATTGATCCTCTTTGTAAATCATCTGTTAAATTCTTATTAGTATTATCCGATAATGTAGTTGAATGCATTGGACGAAAAACTTGTAAATCAAGATGGTATAATTTAATGGTTACATTTATTATTGGTTTTATGTATATAAATAAGAGTATATCTCATAGGACTTGATTATGAGTTTTTAATTGAAAGTTTTTTAGCAGTGCAGTTTGTTTTTATTATATTTACATGAATTACAGATTGATGTTTAGAAATGTAAATCTATTCTATTTTCCATGAATATCCAGAATTTATTATTATTGATATAATTAATAAAAAAAACAATACGAAAATTATTGTTAGTATAAAATTTTATTATCAGTACAAAAACTTCATTAATATTGTGCTCTCCAGCATGATTACTTATTATTGGAGTATATCATTTTTATTACAATCATCTCTATCGTCATGTACTTAACAATTAGATAGAATAGATATACATTTCTAAAAATGAATTTGTAATACATACAAATATAATAAAAACAAACTGTGTTGCTAAAAAACTTTCTACTATTGGTTTTGTTTTTGTTCTTGACCAATAACGAAAAAATAAATATGCATCTTTAACAAAAACAAAATAACTTTCTGTAGTATAATGTAAATTTCTTAATATAATTGCATCCATTATAAATGATATTGAAAATGAATCAAATTTAATTTGTATTGAATCTTTAAAACAATCGACGTAATATACAGTAGCTCCGAAAATTATCCGACTAGGTATATTTTCAATTTTTTTCTGCTACCGTAAACGCTAACAATGATCCAAATAGTGATTTCACTAGAAAATTTTTTTTTCCAATAATAATTAATAATAATAAAAGTGGTTGCTTGTTTTCCAATGATAGGATCTCTAGAAAATGAAAACCAAAGTTTTTCAGCTCCTAGAATTTGTGAATTTAAATTTTTTCCAACTACCGAGTATCATAGAGTAGAGAATTCTGTACAAAATGAGACGTTTCTCAGCTCTCTGCAATCTTTTTTTAGATGAGGTACACGGAGTGCACAGAACGCAAAAGATTCATTTTTTTTTGCCATTTTCTGTGTAAAAGGAATTTCTATGCCTTCTGTGCACTCCGTGTACCTCATCTAAAAAAAGATCGCAGAGAGCTGAGAAACGTCTCATTTTGTACAGAATTCTCTACTCTATGATACTCGGTAGTTGGAAAAAATTTAAATTCACAAATTCTAGGAGCTGAAAAACTTTGGTTTTCATTTTCTAGAGATCCTATCATTGGAAAACAAGCAACCACTTTTATTATTATTAATTATTATTGGAAAAAAAAATTTTCTAGTGAAATCACTATTTGGATCATTGTTAGCGTTTACAGTAGCAGAAAAAAATTGAAAATATACCTAGTCGAATAATTTTGATAGCCACTGTATAAAATAATGTAATACCTTGTGTACGCGAATGATATAATATAAGATAAAGTATCCATATTATTGTTAATAAATAAACAATAACAAGTAATCGAATTCGTTCACGATGTGTACCAATATAATCAATAATTCCATTTGATTTCATTTCTAATGTTGTTGGGTTTAAAATCGAATTAGTTAAATTATATGATTTGTTATAATTCATTGGAAACGTTAAACGTGAAAGTTATTCCATTGTGATTTTAATTTTTTTTAAGTTTGTAATTGAAATATATATTATTGATGCATTTATCATATAGATTTCTATTGAAACGATTGAATCAACGGAAGACTTAAATCTATTTTCGATTATAAAAAATATGGTATACTGTCAAGAGGTTAAAAGACATTTCTTTCTTCCAATTAATAGTAGATGCACGTCTCACCAATGATACCGGAGCTTTTACATTTTAGGACCCCAAATAATCAACTTTCTCACCCTTACCCACACTTTCGTGCTTGTGTTGTGATCAATCATATGCCTGAGGTCCTAAAGTGTAAAAGGATCTCACATCGATTACATATGATGATGATGATGAAGAGGATTCTAAACGACGTAATATTTTGTCAATTACAACGTGTACCACAATCATATAATCATGCTTAACATGTGCTTGATAAATAAATTTTGTTAAAAGAGTAGTATTCTGTTTCATAATAAAACCATCTTGAATAGATTCACTACGTGCTCAAGATGGTCTTTTTCATGATTGTTGGTCAAAATGTATATGAAAAATTAGAATTAGCATTATCATGTGGTTTTCCAAATGAGTTAACATTTACAGTAAATACTTTACTATTATTACTATCAATAACAAATACGGCAACATCATTCCATTTACGTAAATGTTCAGGTTTATTAGATGTACTTTTTCGTCATATTGGTTTATTTTTATCTAATAATAATTTAATAAATGATCATTGTTTAAAAATTTTATATGATAATGAATGGTCAAAACATTTAAATTATCATATGGAAAAGTTTTGAATTGATTCATGTTCACCAGATATTATTAGAACATTATTAAATATTAATAGTAAAAAACCCTAAACATATATATAATAATTTTAATTCAAATAAAAATCAAAAACAGCAACAACTTTGTATTGCACAAATTTTAATGATAATATGATATCTTTCATTTGTTCGTACGAAGGCAACTTATTTACTTGATACAATTCACTGATCATCATCACTAACTTACATATTTTTATTCTTAATGTCATATTGTGAAAAAAATTGAATTTCAAAAATATACTCATGGTATATAGACTAATTTAGCATTTTATATGCATTTATGTTCAATCGCTAATGATGAAGAACGTTTAATTCGACGATTATTACATGATATGTTAGATACTATGGACAACAAGATCGTTTTAAAATTATGCTTGTACTTGAAATTATTGCTAATTTAGCATATGTCGAAAATTATAATGGAATTTATTTAATCGATTCTATGGATATTATTATCCAAACATTAACTCATATATTGGATATACTTATATAAGTACATACATAAGAATGCTTATATCAATTATCAGAATTAGGTAGGTAACTTTTTTTTTAACCACTGACTAAATCTGAATATTCAAATGATTTATAAAAGCAAGTTAACATAGAGATGCAATGATGATAGCGATTACCGATCAGGACATACACGCATATAGTAACGACAAAGATAGAGAACGTAGGATAGAACTGTGGTGATCTTGGAAAGGGATATATTCAAGCGTCCGATCGTCTGATGGAAGTATGCCATTGTGTATGTGAGTATATAAAGGGTCAGTATGAGTATACAATAGGAGTGAAAAAAAAAGAGTGTTAGTACATTCGAAATTTTACCGGACGATATTCTTTGTGAAATTTGTGTTTATTTGTCTTCAGTTGATATTCTTCCATCATTATTTTCATTGACCAAACGTTTATCAAGAATTTTATCACATGAATATTTATGGCACATTCATATCGGTAATACAACAATGTCATTATTGATGTTTAATGAACAATGCCAAAATATTTTGAAATTAATCGGAGGTCGCATTGTCTCATTAGGTCTAACATTAACCAATGTTATTGGTGGGTGGTCACTCGTTTCATCTTAGCTTCAGTATCATCAGATAACATTGCTTCAACGTCTACATCTGGTTGACATTAAACCACATGAATTTGATAAATTATTGCGTAATCATGTGGTAAAACGCTTACATACTTTATTAGTTGATGTGACGCCATTTAATCCATTCAACTTTCTTCAAATTGAAGGAGTTTATCTAGTTAAGGTAGAAAAAGAACTACTATTTACTGTGGAATTCGAATCTTTTTTCAGTTAACAAAAAACTTATTGAACTAACGATTGATAAAATCTAATTATTTTTAATTTAATAATAGATGTGTTCAAGAATGCCTCATCTAGAAATTTGTCAATTTCCCTTTTTTTCATAATGATAGCAATTTTGATCAAGTCGGAAATAATTCATTGGGATATCAAATGACTTTATCGAATTTATTAAATTTAAATCATCTTCGTACATTGACCATTGGTATACACACGTCACGTTTTCTTGAGCGTTTACTATTATGTGTACCATTTATTGAGAATCTTTCTTTTGGCATAGAAGATCAAGATATTAATGAGAATGATGCACATGATACAATCTTGTAAGTAACAATTATTATTTATACTATTATCAATTACATGAATCCTTTTAGATTGCCTACTACTATTGATGCTCATCTTTGATACTTATCTCGTCTACGTATGAATAGCATAAGTTTTCATCGAATTATTGCACTTTTATCATCCGTGCTCGGTCAACTTTGTCATTAAAGTTAGAAGCACTTACATTAATTTCTGGTCCCTTGATTATATCAGGTGATATTATTCACCAATTGTGTATCGATTGTCTTCAACCAATGGCGACTTATAGTCTTGATCTATTATTATACATTCCGAATGACTTTGCAGAAAAAATAATTTACAATTCATTTTTTAAAGTTCCATTTATTCATCGACAGCGTCCGCAAGTGTTCATTCACGAACTTGATGATCAAGATATCGGTCCTACATATCATTGTTTTATGGTGTATACTTTACCATGTAATGATATAACTCTTTCATCATACATATTCTCTACAGGTCTTGAAAAGTATGTGGAAAATATTTATTTATATGAAAGATTAATGGAAATCTATGTTCGCTTCCTATTTAGGTCTTGTCAAATGCCGTTTAATCTAGTACATCTACTTCCACGCGCTAATACAATTTCTTTGCGCGGTTATAAGAAGATTAATTGTGTTCGAAATCTCGGTAACTGTAGAAGTTCTTTATCATCATTAGTTCCGTGGTCATTAGTAACAAATATATCAATCAATGACAGTGATGTTCTTACTCTGGCCACATTGGAATCAATATTACGGATGTCTTCTAATGTACACACATTAGAATTGTTTGATGACAAAGGAATTTTACTTCGCCCAATATTAAATAATAATCATAATCTCACAACTCTAATCAATCAACAAGAAAGAATTTCTATTTTTATTTTAAAACAAAAATTTCAATGAAATTATTTTTTCTGCAAATTTTGTTCGAACTAATGTTCAAATATTCTTTCGAGAAAATGTTTTCTTAAAATTTAATGTAGAAAGAGAAAGATTATTATAAAGATTTTAATTTATTAGATAACTAAAAAAATATTTTAATTTTGTTGAGATAAATTATATTTTCTACTAATTAGATAAAATCATTTGAGATCTACAATGAAACATTGACATTGCAAAATGCTCAACGAATTTATACATTATTGTCGAATCGATTACCTAACTTAAACAAACTTTCATTTACTATTTTTGATGCATATGATCGATGGCAATGGAAACCATCTTGTATTATTGACGAGAAAAACAAATCTACAAAACGTATTGTTAATCTTATTTATCTGCTTGTTGATCAATTAGAAAAACTTGTTTCGCTACGTATCAGATTTTGTGATACGAATGTTTCTGACACGCCTTGTTTTCCACATTTAATCCGACGACAACTGCATCAATATCCACTTAGTCGACCATTTCGATTACGAGTTTCTGCAAAGACGATTGAAATCTGGCTTTAATAACATATTGGTTATGTTAGAAAATTCTGTTATTGTGAATTTGTTATATGTACTTAAGAATAAAATAAAAACATGTTGAATTGGATTTTTTTCATATTTTAATGTTCGAAAAACTCCAATGTTGTCTTTTCGTAATGCATAGATTGAAAATTTGAAATTAAACTAAATTTTCTTGCTTCAATTTAACATACAGTCAATATTGGACTATAAGGTCAACGTTTATGATAATTACATCTAGAATCAAAGTCTTTTCTCCAGCCATGTTATCTAGTCCTCTGGTGGATCCTCAGAAATTAAAAGTAATGGAGATATGGAGACGAGCCCAGAATATTATTGAATTAGATATTAAGAAAAAATAAAACAGCATGTCTAATATAAAAACTGTTTGTTGCACCGCACATTATCCATATGTTGATAATAGTATTCTTTTAAGAAACCTTTCAGCTGTGTTCAATAGTTATATACGAAACTTATGCGCCGTACTTCCAGGCAGGATTTTGGAATGGATAAATGTCAGCTTATCATTAGTATTAAAATTAATAGTAATACTTATTCGATGAACATTAAATATTTAGAATAAAGGCTTCGGCACTAATAGCAATCCAGTTAAGTAACCCTATATTGTTTCCATTAAAGTAGTAGTATTTTTAATTTTAATACACGTGCTAAATATGGCTTTTGGATGGATACATTGACATGCTATTCGTAGCAGTTTAGGCCCTATAATCATCGCCTTTGATGTCACACACATCATCTGTGACGCTAGAAATGTCTCCCGAAATGCTACAATGTGTAGTGAATACGTATCTGATTGTTGGAGAATAGGAATCTAAACAAATAGTACACCTACTTGCACTTTGCCAGAAATTGTGGAAAGCGGTAGTGTTGGTTGCGAAATGGATGTTGATGTGGCTGTCGATTTTCTCTTTGATCATACGCACACCCAAACCCACCCATTTTTCTGAACGACGAAGAAGGTGAACCGTTATGTGGGTAGTTTGATTCAAAGTTTCATAACTTTTTTATTTTTTGGGACAAGCAATATTAAATGTAGCATGAAATGTGTTCTCTACATAACCATATAAAAGTCTTCAAAAAATCCTTTTTAGAAATTCATTCATCATCTATATTGTTAGTTTTCATTGCTTGTTTAGAATAATCATTATTTACTCTGTGTGTACATTATTAATATTTTCTGGTGTAAAATGTCGAAAATAATGATGTTTGCGTGTATATTCTCGATAGTAAGTTTGATTAAAGTGTGAGTTACTCTTTTATTATAGATACAAATAATCTTAGTAAAAACCATAGTTGAATAAAAATGCATTTTTCATCTGATTTATTATGAAATGTAACATAGATCAGAGTTTGAGGCATACGTGTACATGTAGAAGGATATAAACAAATGTGCTTTTCATTTATCTAACGCGGGTTTCGATGGATTAAAAGCAGCATTATTCTTCGATAAAACGTTTCATTCTAACCAAAATATAACTAAAAAAGAAATGATACTTTTTTATTGTCAGACTATCATATATTTATTTCACTTGAGTGAAAATTATATGAGTAAATCATTATTTTTTTCATACTTTTTGAAACAATAATTTGATATATGAACAGAGATAAGAATATTAAATTTGCCTAGAAATTTGTTTCACAGTTCCAAGAATATATCTAAAGTTCTGATCATTGATATTGAACAACAATAAATTTCCGAAAAAATGAGGATCTTTCATAAATCGACATTCGAAAAAGGAACTAATCCTTTTAATTAAAATTTCAGTTATTCGTTATTGACTTTATAGGTTAAAATTGTTTTTAATTAGTCTTAATTTGATTTAAAGTTACTTTGATTCACGATATGAATGTTCGTAAATGGTTTAAAAGTTTACAAAGTTTTCATAATGTGAATATCATTCTTGTTTTTCAACAATGAGAGAATTCAACAAACATTGAAAGAAATAATATTTAATAATAAAAAAGAAATATTGAATATGTAATAATTAAGTGTCAGAAAATACAAATATTTTCGTTGTTCTCTTATCAAACTTGATATTCTTAGTGGTTTGACTTTTCACAATAACTATATGAGAAAACAAGAGAAAATAAATTATTATTCAAAAATTAATTCTTTATATTGTTGATAAAGGTTTTCGCTTAGTTCAATATAATTTTTCACAATTAATATTGATTGTTTTTTCGAGAATTGAAGGATAATGATTTTCCTCTTACTTTCTTTCAAACAATGAATCTGATTAAATGAAACAGAATATTCCTAACAGAGAGGTAAAGGACAGTAGCGCATAAGAGCTATCTTTAGTTTTGCTTGATTAATGAACTGTTGAATATAGAATTCTTTAAGAAATTGTCTGTCAACAAAATAAAGCTATTTCTCAAAGATCTAGAAATACTTTTGCTCAAAAAAACTTGCTATTTATTTCTGTATTCTCAATGAATGATTCATACATACAGGGATCAAACATCTATGTTTTTCTTAAATGAGTTATCTCGAATAAAAAATAATGGGAAACAGCGACCACTTCATTAAGATATAGACATACTCGATGATCGACACTACCTTCTAATACATCGTATGATCATCAAGAGTATTTACTTATAGAAATAGATTAGTTTCTTCGCAAAGAATCATTGCACATACTATTTCGAGATATTGCAAAAAAAAAAAATAATTTTCGAGTTCAAGATTTGATCTTACACATTTCGAAAAGATCATCGATGCTTAAAAACTCCAATTTCTTTTCGTAACTCATATCACATGTCATCGTTTGACTAGCACCATGATAACTTTGCTAATCAAACAATAAGCTCAAGTTCAAGTTTGTTCTTCTAAGTGGTGATAGAGAAAACATACGCAAATCAAATGCATGCACACATATTTATAATAGTAACAGTTGATGTTTTCAGGCGACAAGAAAATTGTAAAAAAAGGCTTAATAACTGATATGTTGAGTTGTGAGCATATAAAATTAAGAATCAGTCAATAACATTATTTTATCTATACATATTATTCAAAATCTTAAATAACTTTTGTATAAAGTAATTAGAAAGCTATACATTCCGATATTTTTAACTAGGTTCAAGAGATTATTCGAGTTTTAAACATTTTATATTCCAATTTCAGTGCAAAAATATTAGAATGATGTTCGAAATGATTGTTAGAAGATAATTTTCTTATTATATAATTTGAATTCCATTTACTTAACACTAGTTAAGCTGACGTGAATAAATAAATAATTTTATATTATTATAATTTTCTCTTTAATATTCAAATGAAACAAAAAAAATAAATTAATAAACGAATAATTTTCTAGTGTAAGTTGTATGATGATGATGATTTAATAAATAAAATAAATTAATCGAAATATGAATGTTCTTTATTAAAATATAAAAGACATTGGAGAAAATAAGTTTATTAAGAATTTATCTTTCTAAGAAGCAAACAAGTTCAACTAATTTAGCCAAATTTGTATTTGATGCTGCAGATATATTATCTATATAAGCAAAAAATAATAAATTTGAAATAAAAATCTTGAAATTAAACGAACCATTACGTTTAGGAAGAACATAAATTCCTCCGGAATCAATTTGCCAAGCACGTTCATTACAAATTTGTTGAATCATTTTTGTATTAAGACCAAAAATTTTTTGAAGATCATCAAATGATATTGATTTATATGCAAGTTCAATTAATTCAACATTTTGTATTGTTACTCGAGCTTAAATTAATATAAAAATATAATTTAAAAACAAAAAAAAAATGTTTAAATGAAACAAACAAATTAATTGTTGAATATATTTATTCATTTGAGTTGATATATCATATAATGAACTATTTTCAAGTGCTATTTGACATAATCTATAAAAATCTTCATATTGTTTTAAATTAAGTGATGAAACCAATGATGCTATATATTGAAATTCTTTATCCTATTTAATTTAAAATAAATTTTATTTTATATTATTTTAGTTTTATTTCATACTGTTTTCATATTAACTGGAAGATTTTCCCATAAGAATTTTGCTTCATTACTAAATTAATTCAATCAAATATTTATTAAGTAAAAAATCAATTTAAATAAACTTACATTTTTGATAAACATAAATAAGTTATCATTAATTCTTTATAAACATCTATTGGAATACTATCAATTGGACTCTATTTTTTTTTATTATAAAAACAATTAGAAATAAAAAAACTAGATAACAGCAAATATTAACTCACTGTTAAAAGACGATTTTGTAATTGTGATAAATGTTCTCGATGTTGTTGAAACATTGTTGCTAATGATTCAGTCATATCGTTTCAGATAATATAATATAAAATAATAATCTCATTCACTTAGTTTTAGGCAAAACAACACAAGGAAGAAATCAAACCAATCATAAAACATTTTTAGATATATCAGAGACATCTATATTATTTCATTATTCAAGGAAAAAAAAAGAAATTCGAGAACATTACAGAGATAATATCATACTAACAATAGGTTGGACATTTCTATACTAGTAATTTAAGTACTAAATTAACAGAACTTTTCTTTTTTATGCACAAATCAGAATAGAAATTTTTATTATTAGAACCAAAAATGAATGATTTAACTTATGTTTTTTTAATGCTAAAATTAGAATCATATGTGGAGATATAGGAGTTTTTTGTTCTCACATTGTACAAATCAGTTTAAAACAATTTATCTCAATAGACACTTAAAGAAAACGTGTGTATTTGAAAAACATATTCAAAAACTTGCGTCTACTTGCAGAATATTTTTCAACTCATTGTATCTTATTCATGAAGATGCAAGCTCTTTCAAATATTTAGAAGTGTTGTGAATCAATGCATAACAATAGCACATATATTTTAAAAGCTTCTTTTTTTTTGCAAGACTATGCATGATTCTTATCCTTCAAAATAGTTACATGCAACAATTTTGGCTGTTAATGCAAGATATATGACTTGCATGATAATACTAAAATGTTATTTATGTATACTTGCAAGATGACTGGTATTTTGCTAAATTTTGCACGTCAATACAAAAAGTTCTTATTTACAAAAACTATTACTCAACTAATTTTTCGTTGGCATACAAATTTCTGCCATTGAATTGTGTGTATGCTGCTACTTGTTTAAGATTTTGAATTCATCTATAGTTATGAGTATTCATGTTCGCACATGTCTAGTAGTTATCAAATGATCATTAAATCTACCAATTTTAATTGGGTTTCTAATATAAGTAGATGGTCAACTGATAAAGAAGTTTGTCTTATAAACGAAGTATGAATGTATGGATCTTATATCTGAAAAAGAAACTCCTGCGTGCTCGTGTATATCTACAGCATGTGCTTTGTTTTCTGATCATTCTAAAATTGCCTTGCATGTATGTGTGCGGATACTCTACAAAAGTATTCTTATATGCTCGCACGCAGCGGTGGTGTTCAGCGTGTACATGCACAAAATTTCATACATGTAAAGGCGAATATAGTTACTGTATGAAGTGTTTCCACTCATGCTATACCATAGTGCAACATGTAATATTCTGAAAGCCATTAAACAAAGAAAATTTTGAATATTTTCAACGCACATCAATCAAATGAGATGGTTTCTTTTTATGAGGACAGAGAACAGCTAACTCAAATGCATAAAACCAGCAGACTTTTGTTCACTATAGTACTAAACAACGTACGTACGTTTTAAAGTCATAGCTATTATATCGATATTATAGGATATTCTTTTACATATCTTGTCAAACACTATAAGTAATTTATATATATTTGTGTGTTTAGTGTTTGAAACAAAAGTGAAACTTAGTGAGCGACTTCATTATTAGTAGAAAATCACATAGTATAACTCTCTGTGAATGATAAATAAATCTTCATTAAAACTCTTTAGTGGTAAAGTGAACAAATATTTGTTCATTCATGAATAAAAGCTTGAAACTGTTCTTTACCCTCACAAAAATAAATCAATTTATGTGATCAAAGTGCATTTAAAACATTCAAGTTTTTCTTTGTTTAATGACTTTTTGGACACCTTATATATGTACACGCATTTTATAAGTTTCATATTTAACTAAGTATATAAGAAAAGTGGCAGTGTCATTATAAAGATGAGAATGAACACATCGGTGTGCCGACATGGACTTTGTTTCAAAAATAAAATTCGATTTAAGTTCATCTCTAAGCTTATTCACTTGATCCTAATTATCTCTTATGTTTGCATGAGGTTCCACATCGGTTATTTGCTGAATGCGTAAAACTATTGAATAAATGGAGACGTCTACGCTTCTCTAATAAGATCAATTTAAACTCCGAATGGGAAAAAATTAGTAAAGTTTTTTTTTTTGTATGTACTTGATGAAAGTAGTGCTAATCAAATGTGTTTGATATAATGCAAAGTTATTTGGAGAGCAAAAATTTATTTTTTCGAATCTATTACATTTATTTAAAGTGTTGAATTTATCCTATTATTAGTATATGACACATTCTACCTATATTAAAACAAAGCTAAAGAAACAATCATTCAAAGTCGTTCAATTTCACAGTAAAATGAATTCTGAAATTTATGTTAGAAAGACCTAAAATAAAACTTGTATAAACTCTTAATGGTTCCTATGTCAACAATAGTGAGATAAACAGTTGGGTAAATACATTTAGATCATTTTTCATTTATATGTCTATGAAAGCAGAACAAAAAAAAAATAATTTTATAATAATTGTCAAATAGGATTAGAGATTTGTCATTAATAACGTACAAAAAAAAACAAGAACTGTTCACTATAAAACATAAAATAGTGAAGAAAGACAAATTAACAATAGTGTTGTATAAATATCAAATGAAAATGAAATAATTCCATAAGTATTTAGAGATTAAGTTGTTGTCGATTTACTGAAAAATAAGCACCAATTGCATTATGAAATAATATTAATTGTTGTTTCATTACTTGAATCTAAGAAAAGAAAAATTTTGTTTTTAGAAAAATTAAATTCAATAAAAACTACGAACTCGATTTTCATCAAGTAATTTTAATTTAATAATAACATTATCTTTGCATTTTTCATAACATTGTTTAAAATGTTGATATTGTTGTTGAATATATTCATCTGTAGAAGATATTTGTTCTCCTGATTTATTTCGAGCTAATAATGCTTCATAATCATATCGATATGCATCATATTCAATTCTATATTTATTTTATAGAATTTATCATAAATAAGTCAATATAAAACAAAAAACAAACCTTGCATTTTCATATGTTTTTATTGTAGCTAATGTATCTTCAATTGTTTTATTCGTTAATGTTTGCAATTTATCAATAAATATATTTATTGCATCTAAATTAGAACTTTTTTGTTTTTTCATTTGAAAATAATGTAGAAAACAAAAAAAAAAGATTCTCTTACGTAAAAGTGTATCACCATTGAGTGCTAATGTTTTTTGACATTGACTATTTCGTACAAGTTGATCTATAAGATCATCTGATGATCCAGATATTCGTTGTAGTTCACTGAAAGATTCACCTAAAATTAAATTTTCATTCTTTTTCTTTATTATTAAAACAAATAAATTAAAAATAACCAAGAGAACGTTGTGTTTGAAGAAGACCAGAAAAATAAATGCTCATTTGACGAGCTTCATTTAATATATTCTCATAATGACGTTTCGTTTCACGAAGAAGCTAAAATATTTTTTTTTTTTTTATTTCGAATTTAAGTTTTTAATTATTATTAATAAAAAAAAAAATCAAACTTGAATATTTTGTTCAAGTTCAATATCTTGTGTAGGAACAACATGTCCTAGTCGTTCTTGAAATAATTGTCGAGTATATTTTAATGTTTTTGAACTCCATTGACGTAATGTAGTTAATGTTCGACTTAAATTAAGGGTTGTACGTTGAGGAAAAGATAAAATACGACCCTCTAATCAAATATATATTAGTTCAATGTTAAAATTAATAAATAATATATCTAACCTGGAGTTTCACATGAATCTAATAGACTAACGTAACTAGTCGGAGAACTTGTCGAGTCATTTGTTGAATTAGTATGTGTGTTTAAAGTTGAACTCAACATTGAAGAACTATCTACATTTGAAATGGAACTCGACATTCTGATATTCTGATATTCAGCCAAATAAAAAGTGATTGATATTCACGCGATATCACAGAACAGAAAAGAAACTCAATGGAGAAATGAATTTAGTCAATCATACATTAAATAATATCGTCTCGCGGATATATCTGACATCTACTATATATTTTCGAGCAATATCAATTAGATAAACAGTTGATTTTTATTCATTTAGGATCATTTGAATATCATCTGATCAGTTAATATATCAATTTTTAGCACATAAGAGGAAATCGAATGTTAGATTGAATGATTACGTGAGACTCGAACTGTACGTGACTTCAACATCAGTTCTATAGGTATATAAACACAGTCAACAACAGTATTCGGATGGTCATAAATTGTTTTTGTCTTTCTAAGAGTTTCTTATAGGATGAACAGATATCTCTTGTTTTCTTTTCTGTTCTCTAGAAAGATAAGAAATCTAGATTGATATTTGAAATCTAGGATACATATTTGAAAATGTTTGCAACATTGTTTACTTTGCATGTACTTCTGAACAGATAAAACATGAAATTTCTTAACAAACGTTTTTGAATGTTTGTTTAAAATAAAATAAAGTGAATCTTTTTTTGATTAGTCACCTAGTGTTATTATAAGAAATGTATCTAATTTCCACATATTGTTTTTATTAATTTATTTTTTCCATACGAATAAATATTGATTTTTGAAAACAGAACTCTGTATTACATAGTTCTAAACGATCTCTACTAATTGGGCTTAAATACAGAGGTTTTTGTTGCTCAATCGTTCAGTTCGGCAGCATGTTCAATAAAGCTAGTTTCTTTCAGAATGACGATATTTTCTTCATTGTTAACTTCCTGTCAAAAAAGTCATCTTAGAAATCTCATCCATAATCAAGACAAGTTCATTTTTGAAACATTCTTCGAAATTAAATTCATCTTTCTAGTTAAAGTTTAAATAACATGTGATACTTGATGATTTAGCTGAATTTATGCATCTGAATACTGTCCAACGATCTATTTTCGTTGTAGTGATTCAGATAGGATATTCTCATTCAACAACAATTGTTATTAAACGCTTATAGATAGTTCTGAAAAAACATTTGATAAGCAATCGAAATACGATGAAGGCAACTTTCAAAGTGCTGTGAGAAAAATCAGAAAGAAAACAATGGCAAAAATCAATGAGAAGTAGATGCATTTTATATAATTATTTCATGAGACCTGTAACAACATGCACATCTATTGTTTGATACAAATATAAATAGACGTATGTAGAGAATTGAACAGCACATATTTCAAAGGAAAAAGTCTATATTGAATGTTTTCTCTGTTTAGATATATATATTAAGTAAAACATGTTAGTAACATTTTTGAACACTCTCTATTTGATGTATAAACATCATACAACAATATGGAAAAGTTCAGTAATTATTGTTTCACACAGATCACAAAACATAGTATATAGAAAAAAAATTGAATTTTTTAAAACTAATATATCATCTATTCTAATTCATATTAACAGCTCTCATTAAGTTACGTTTCAATTATCTATTGATAAAATAGAAAAATGCTCAAAAATTGTCGTTTGATAAAAGCCATAATATTTTTTTTCTTACAACTGTGTAAATCAATAAATACAAAAAAACATTCAATAAAAGGCTGGGTACTTATTTTCGCTATCAGTACCATTTGAACAAATTTTCAATAATTTGTTGAGGATAATGGAGATAATTTCAAGAAGAAAGAATTTGATTTAAATTAATTCAAGTCAATCATTCACTATTTAATTTCACTGTGGACACTAACATTTTCTATTACTAATATGAATTAATTCGCCAGCCAGAGATAAGAACTGCTTGTTTCATATGATTTAATCATAGAAAAGTCTAAAATGACCAAAAAATATATCTAAGTAATTCTTTATCGTCAATGTATTTTCATTAATGTTTTAAAAAATCTAATAAGTTAAATGATACTTTTCTTAGCATTAAATTCCGTTTGAAACTGTTCATAAAATAGATATGTGAATAATGGTATGAAAAAAAAACAACATTTAGTATTTGTATGTCGAATAAAACTTTTCTTTTACAATGTCAATTGACTATTGTTATTTTACTTGTCCTTGAACACTATTTAAGTGACAATCATAATTATTAAAGCGTTATTTTTTTATTGTAACTTTGTTATGCACTTGATCTATATTTAGTGTTAAGTTGTTTTTCTTTTATATTCACAAAAATGTTATTATGAATCAACAGATATATATTGAAAAAAAAATGCTCACATTTGATGAAAATAATATAACAGATGTGACATCGAAAGTTTCTGATCATATATCAAATAGAACATAACGTAAAAAACCTATTGAAAAATGTCCACAAGCAATTAATTGAAAAAAAAAGGAGAGAAATGCAGCAGCTGCTTGCGGTACTCGTCGAATCATTTTTGTTCTATGTCTTCTATTATATCTAAAGTATGACATGTAATGCAGGACAATGAAAACAGTCTACGTTATTTTGATAGCACTAAACCAAAAACTTTTCTCTCATAACAATTTGTTGAGGTAATCATGACAGAGGAAAAAAAATAATATTTTTCTTAATAGAAATTTACAATTAGATAAAAACATTTGAAATGAATAGTTCCAGCAGTGATACAATTTTTTCACATGCTAAATTTAATTATTTATTCGATAATGATCAACTTTTACCAACAGTACAAACAACTCTTCTTAAAACTGAACCTTGTTTTAATGTTATTGCAATCGAAGATGAAGTTACTAAACATTTTTACCAAAATAAATTACCAGCCATTTCAAAGACATATGATACAATTCAATATATTAAACAACAAACACTAAATGAATCAGATAGTTTAGAAAATAAATATTCTCCTAAATTGATTGTAAGTCATATTCAATAGAAATAAAAATTTTTTTCATTATAGTTTGTTCTTTTAGAAAGAAAGAGAAATAACTCATAAGATTAGTGATGCTAAACATGTTGCTCCTAATCAATTAACATATTCTTCATCTATGAAGTCTACTTTAAAAAGATCTCATAAAAAAGAAGAAACAAGATTAATACCAAAAATAGATAAATTATCGATATCTCGTTCTTCTTCTTCTTCATCATCTTCAAAAAAGAAACAAACACCTTCTACACGTCTTGATTTTAATCAAGTTCGACATCTTGCTGAAGTAACAGCTAAACAATCTTCTTCATTACATCCTTTTTATTGTCGTTCTCTTTTCGATCAAACAATTAATATATTTGACCCGAATAATTCGTATTATATAGCAACAAATAATTATCGTCCATTTCGATGTCAATATTATATGAAACCCTATCGAGAAGAAGCTAATACTCCAACGAATATGAGTAAACAAAGATCAAGATCACTTTCATACAATCGTCTTGCACAACAATCAGACAAAACTTCTCGTTCACATACTTTTTCAAATCAATATGCTCGACCATCAAAAAGACAATTCAATAGAAAACAACACATTTCATGGTCACCTGAAAGAGAATGTATTGATCGAGGAAGAGATTATACAAGCATAAAAGCAAATAAAAGGCAAATGTCTATTTTCATTTTTTCCTTTAATTGATTTTTCATTTAGAAAGGAAAAATCTTCCAGAAAAACAAATTCTTCTTCATTATCAACACGTTCTCCTCTTTCATTAATCAAACCTTGCCAACGAAATTCGTCTTCAAAAATACCTGTTCTTGTTCGTCATCGAATTTCTCGATCATCTCAATCTCCTTCTCCTCCTTTATTGATCGATTCATATCATACTCCTTCCGCTAGTGAATGTTCTCTCACAACTGTTACTTCAATATCACAACAAAGTCACAAGAAAGGAGAGGAAGAGAGTATTTTAAAATCTCATTTGCCTGATCTAGGATATCAACATCAGAAAGAACATGATGAAACTATGCAACGATATGATCGATTGTTAGAAAAGATGCGAGCTACCGATGAACAACTTCAGTCATTATCTCGATCGTGCATAAACAATCAGCCACAAAGAAAATCTGTCAGTAAAAATTCTTTTTTTATCAACAAGTTTTAAAAAATTATAGAAGAGAATTTTTCATTGGTTAATTTCAGGTTAAAATGGATCAAAAATCGAATTTATCATTGAATAAAATAACTAGTAATAGGAAGTATTTTTCACCAATCATCCTTCAAGTCTGTCTTATTATTTTGGTTATCTTCAATTTACTTGTTTATTTCTTTTATGATATAAATGCTTGGTGGAACGAATATATTGTTCCTGCGGTAATTATTGAACAACATAATGAAGATACATTGAACTTTTGAAAATATTTATTTTATTTTAAATAGAAGTAGGTCAGAGCAAGAAAAAAAAACGACTATATATTCGTTGTTCTTCAATTTTTTGAAGCTTTTCTTTTAGTTTCCTTAATGAATTATGAAGAAGAACTCTATGTTGTTTTTTTTTATGGTACATACTTCTATATTACATTTGGAGAGATCATCTTTGAGCTCTATTATTTGTATATATTTTCTCTTTGTAAATACAAATAGAATAAACTGGTTCACCCTACCTCACTTAATTTTATAAAATATGATTTTATTTCGATTCAAAAAATTGAAATTAATAAAGACATCAGTTCGAATTACAATATTATTTTTGATTTCAATTTTGTTTTAGAATATTAATAAATTCCGTCATCGAACAACAATAGCTTTTGAAACTATACTTTGTAAGTTTTTACAAATCTACACAGAATAGAATTCATAAATCGCTGTGAAAATGCTGCTTCTGTGACGCATACTCTATGATAAATACATAATCTGTTAAGAAAAGACAAAATCGTCGACAAAAAAGGTCGTCTATTGTCATACTCGCCCTTTGCATAGATTTGTAATTTAGATGTTTTTGCAATGGCTAGAAAAACGTTAAACTAGATTTGAAAGGAACAATCAATTTTCTTCTTGGTTTTCTCATCTAAATTCATGATTGATAGAGTACTTTTCTTGCTAACATCTAATTATCTTTATGTATCGGCTCTGAATAAACGTACTCTAAAGATAGTGTAGACTATGCGTATCAATATATATGAATACAGACGATAAAAAGAAACAATAAGAAACTGAAAGATATGTATATAACTGGAATAATGCATGATCTTATTTGTTAACACAGATTGTAAGAGACATAAGACTTCAGTCACGTGAAAGAATGATATGATCTATTTCATTTATTTGTTATTTTCAAGCTAAACTAGGCATTGTCTTTAATTTGATATAGGAGAAAGTACATTCAGCAAGATCGAGCGCACAATCCAATCGCTTTGAGCAATTATTACTATTGATGTTTAGCTTGAAAACTTTATTTTATATATATGAAATATTTTTAGTTGATGATATCTTTTTATTTTATAGGAACAGGATTTTCTCGTCACATAGAAAAAAGGATTACTTAGCACAAAAAAAAACTCTTCGTACATCACATTAATAGTGGCAAAGACAGAAAAAATTCTAAGGACATGCTCAAATACTATTGGAAATTAAAAAGTAGAAATTTTATTCGCCTTTAATACATAGTTCTCGAAGACGCTCAAAAGTTTTCGGAGGGGACTCAAAGATTCTTGGACGCAGCTGAGCTCCCTCTATCATTATCCATTATCACAAAAACCATCGATTGCGCATCAACAAAAAAATCATTATGTTTTTTATAAACATTAAAAATATTTTTCACAGAAGAAACGGCTTTTATTATCTTTTATTTGATACTAATCTGTTTGAATATTATTTATGATGTCTTTTTCAAGAAAAAGTAGCTTACGCACCGACACTAAATTCAAAAAACCTGCACTTATGATGCAAAGATCACACATGTTTCATCATCAGACTATAAGAACATGAAACAAATCATATAAATAAATGCATGCATATGAATAGAACAAAATCACAACATTTTTGTACTTGAAATATAACTAAGTCATTGGCATTACATTGATTGCTTCTCCTTGCTTAGTTTTATTTTCTAAATTTTCCATTGTATATGTCTTCCGTATTGTGTCAAGAATATTTTTTTCACTTCTTCTTTATTGACTTGAAAACGAAACATATCAGTAACTAAAATCGTGAAATCCGAAATAAATAAAGAATTACGTATTAGCAAATAATAGCCATATTCATCTGTCAATTCTAAATGAAATATTTTCTTTTTGACGACTCATGTCTTCAATTCTACTTTCTTCTATCTATTGGATAGCCAATGAATAAAACAAAAGAAAAACTTATCAGATATTTATTCGTTTCACTGATTTATAAATTCACGTTGCTTTATATTGAGTTGTAACATAAGTTTTGAGAATTCTTTTCTGTTCAATCAAAAGTTTATTTTTGCAACAAAGATATGCACTATCAATCAACAACATAATCACCATTAGTTTCGATAATTTTCGCCCATCTTGCTGGCAATCGTTCAATCTAATGTTTGTAGAAACTAGCCTGTTGTCATTCGAAAAAGAAGCTGAGGTCAAATTGAATCTCATGAAAGTCTTCGTATTGGTGGTCGTGCAAATGGCTCCGAAGGACTCTTAACAAATGATAATTGGATGATGCAAGATTTAGTGAGTACGATACATACTCAAAAACTTCCCATCCCAGTTGTCTAATTTTATTTTAAGTCAACTTTGTAACATGTAGTCTTGCATTGTCATGCAGAAGAATGACATTATTCCGATTTGCGAAGACCAATCGCTTTTGAAGTAGAGTCTTATGCAAGTACTGGAACTATTGAGAGCAAACACCGGCAATAATAGTTTGATTGATATCTAAGAGGTTGAAATAGTTGACATGCTTCATATCCCAACAAGTGTAGAACATTATCTTCTTTGAATGTAAATCTGCTTTTGCGTCCAGTAATGATTTCCAACCAGAATTGAGCCACCGCTTTCTAAAACGAAAGTTGATGTAACAAACCCATTTTTCATCTCCATCAATGATTTTTTTCAAAAATGGATCATGGTTCTGTCAGGATAACAACAAACTACAAATCGATACTCATTAAGCCAAGTTGTTTGTGGACCGTTGCCGTGAAATCCAGTTTCGGTACCTATGGAGCTTGTCTAGAGCGTGAAGATGACGATTCACTGTCATAGAATAACAATTGAGTTGCGCGACCTATTCACGGGTTGTTGGACATAGACTAACATGGAGTCGAGTCTCCAACGGTAATACATGGATTCGTCGGTGATGTGTGGGTTGGTGTGGCTGTGAGTGTTGGTGCGGTGAAGAGAAGATTCTGAATCATACTCACAAACCCACCCACACCAACATCCTTTTTCCACGTTTGTTTCATCACTGTTACTGTATGGTTACAATTATAGCCAAAATCTAGACTAATTGTTTGTTCTTTATGTGGACACTAATGGTATTTCATGATTTTCTCATTCCGAAACATCAAAATCTTTGAATGAATTCTGATTAATGATTATGTTTTTGACTCTGTTCAGAACGACAAAACTAGGTTGATTTCCTTACTTTCATATAGCTAAAATTCTGATTTTCATGAATAAATTCGAAAAAGTCGTAGATAACATTTAGCTCATCTTTACAATTGCCTCTTAACAATTACTACTTACGAGATAAGGATCATCATTTTGATATAATTTTATTTTTTATACGAAAAGAGCATTCTGCGTTTTTAATCCTTTCCCTTAGGTTACTTTTGTGAACCATTCATCGTTGCCGTAAGATAAAACTTTGATTCTAATTAATTGTTTTATACATTTCAAACATATTTCTAGCTTTTTATCACTTTAGAAGGAAAAAATCATTATAATGATATAAACCACATCAATTTTCATCAATATTTTATATAGTAGATGAGAAAGAGAGCATAGCTGATACCATTTTAAACAGAACTCAATCTTTAATTGATTTTCTCTTGATTGAAACTAATGTAAAAGATTTATATATCTCTAGTTACTTTTACTCAACAAAATGTTTTCTAGAGAAAACAAAATAATATGAGGTATTAAATTATATTTTAATACGAAAAGTGGGCAGTCTGTAAAAATTCACAAGATAATGGAGAAGTGGATATTAATGATCTTTATTCTTCTCACATTGCTTACTCTAGATTTGCTATGTAAATTTGTTTTACGAATATCGTATATATTTCCATGTACACATTCTCATTAAGTTCCTCATCAGGCAGCGAAAATTCTCGAGGAACTTTTCGTTTAAAATCAACTGATAACTGCCACACAAATTACAGAATTCTGCGGAAGACAGCATCAGATAATTATTTCAAAAAAACTTTTGGGTTTCTGATATCACTATGGTTATAGTCACAATCCTTATGGTGTTACACTCTTTTCATCCCTTTTCTATGGCATTCATATGTGCCACGATCATTTCGTAGTTTCTTTATGTAACCTCACGTTGTAGCGATACATATGTGTACATAACTTATCTTCTTATTTTCGTTCTCTATTTCTCCCTTTCATTCTACCTCTGACTTGTATCGCTTCATGCACATACAACATTTAACTCTTTCCCTTACAATAAAAAATTAGAAACCTATTTTGACCTAAACGTTTTGTATATAAAACAATATCTGA